ATTATTTCCTTATGGGTATTTTTAATTAGGTTTATTGTGATTTGTTTGTTTTTCTTCATTTTTACTATTTAAGAAACCCTATTATACATGGCATGATATGAGTGGTTGGGAGAGCCATTTCAAAAGTTGATGTGACACGACGACTTTATGTTATAATTACTTTTTTTTTCTTTTCTTGAGTACTAGGTCAAAGATTTTTATTTCACTTGTGGTTTGATAAAATTTATCAAGAAAGGATAGAGTAGAAAAAAATCAAGCAAAACCCTTAGGGTTTCGTTTGTCGTTTGATGCCACATAACCTCTTCGATCAAGATGAAAATGTGTAACTTCCTTACAAGAAGATTTTCCTTTTTTTCTCAAGCACCCCGAGTAATTTTCCTTTTGTGAAATTCTAGTTTTTTCTCATCAATTTTTTCATAAACAATTAATTCTTTTTTAATAATTAATTCCTAAATAGTTATACCTTTTAAATTGACATTTATGTAGATCATTTAAGTTAATCATCTATATAATTAACATGGACTAGTCACAACTAATTAATATCTATACTTAAATTATACTGAAAAAATCACTCTTTCCTCCAAGCCTTATTATATATTTTTCGATCCTTTAAAATTATTATCAATAATCAGAGTGACAACTATCTTTGAACTTGAAGGTTAAAGTTGCCACTAGAAATACACCCATGAATAAAGCAACTAATAAAAATTCATCTTAGAATTATATGAAATTGTTCATAATAAATTCTCGTCCAATAAGCTCATTTAACTATACATTTATCTAAATCAATAAAAATTAAATCTAAAAATATGTCAACTATTACATCTATCAAAATCAATAAACTCATTTTATAATGAACAAAAAGTCAATTACTTTTGCTTCAATCATGCAAATGACTAGTAAGATACATCATACCAATTCATATAAGAATAACGTATATAATCTACATTGGATCACTATGTTTGTATTTTTACAACTAAATATGTTTATCAGTCTATAATCAGATTAGATCAAGAGTGAATAAGGTGAGAGATGCATATCAAAGACCAAATCGAAATGAATGTAATATTTATTTTTTAAAAAAATTGTTATTAATAATTTAATATAAGATTTTCTTTTCAAAATTGAAGTTTAAATTTCTTTTAGAATTTGGTCCGATGGTCGAGAGTAAAAACATAATAGAACTTCAATTTCTTTTAGAATTTGGTTCGATGGTCGAGAGTAAAAACATAATAGATTTTTTGCTAATTTATTATTAGACTGAGGATTGGAGTAAGATATCTCATACTTTTAATTGAAAATATTTTAAAGACTTAAAAAGAAATTAGGTTTACATATGTGTTCTCTATCACAATCCTTAATCTCATTCTCAGCATCCTAGTTAAGGACTTTTTTTTTATTGTATTAGAATGAAAATAATTAAAATAAAATTATCTATTAAATTAGAGTAGCTCACAATTGAAATAAAAAAATAATAATATGCCTTTTATTAATAAATATTTCTAATTATATAATATTCATTTGTTAATAAATATCAGTCAACCAATTAGCGTCATACATAATAATTAAATATAAAGATTATCTACAAATTTAAACAAATAATAATATTTATTTTTATTAAAATTAAATAGAGCTATCACACGTTGCGTAACAAAGGAAGAGACCATTGTTTCTAAACATAAGTCCATAGTTATTTATGAAATAAAATCTTATATTAAATTCAATGTGCTCCTATTAATACACGATAATATTTTTTTCTAAACTAAAATTTTATGTTACACCTTGAGATTATCTATGAAATATTAAATTTTTAATTACATATTTTGAATTGTTAAAAACTAAAGTAGAAGATAATAATAAATCAGAGACAAATGAACTTAAAGATTTTTTTTTTTTTTTTAAAAAAAAAGAAATTAAACATTGATATTGATTCTGTCAATTTCATATTCTGATATAAATTTAAGTTTTTACACAATTATTTAAATAATTATTAATTATTATATATAAATAATAAATTGGTTTATATGTTATAGTAGAAAGTTTTGAAAGTGAAAGAAAAAAGGTTAGAAGCATTATCGATTTATTGTAGGTGGGAGGCAGGATAATTAGTGTTGGGTTGGGGACACATGAGGTGGTTTCATCTTAGGGTATGCAAAGAGACAAACCGCTACGAGACAAAATTCAGTGCGGCTTTTCATTGGTCCTTAATGGTTTAAAAATTTATCTACTTTGAATCATTATATTATACACAATTAACACTATTATAATCTTTTAATAATATAATCTAAAAAAAAATACAATATTTTGGTATAAAATTGTTCTAATATTCAATTATAAATAAACTTGATGTAAGTGGTCGGCGCGTAAAGAAACTCAAAGAGGCAGAATATTTATGATTCTTTTTTCTGCAATTTTTGGCTTGGGTTAGAGTGAAGAAGAAGAAGAGATGTATGCTTCTCTTAATCCGGTGCACAAATTATCACACCAACTATCCTAAAATATCATAATAAACTTGCATCCTTTCAATAAAATGGTGCGTTTAAAGGCACCGAGGTAAGTGCGGCTGATGGTGAAAAAGGTCGAGCTCCAACGGCGGATCTATTAACATTCTTCCTCGAGATGTAGAGTAGATGTTTTCTACTCCCATATTCATGATATGCCGTTTGAGAATTTAGTTAGATATAGTTTTTACGAAGATCTTAACTAATTATTTTTTATTGTTTAAATTATATATTTAAAAATTATCAAATAAGTACTTAATTCATGTTAACTTTAGCACGCACTAGTCACTCACATTAAATTTAAATTTATTTATTTATTTATATATATTATTATTGAAAACATTAAATATTTGAGTAGTTCTACACCAAAATATTATATTTTCTTTTTTAATATGGTTTCGTACTAATATTCTCATAGAAATTAATATAAATATCGAACTATTAAATTAAAAAAAAAAAATAGTTAGTGATGAAAACATATATATTATTTAAAATAATTAAATTAAATAGAAAAATATAAACTAAAAAATAAGAATCCAAAGCATCATTTATTACGACCGGTCTTGTGATGTTGATTACGTCGTGAGGGTATATAATTGCTCAATTAATCAAATCCAATTAATTAATTAATTAAGGGGTCTTCTTCTAAATCCATTTAATGTCCTCAATTTATAACTTAAAAGGCTCCCTCATCATAATCCATACTATTCTTAGTCTTCAATTAATTATATGTTTTAATCAGCTGCAAGTTATTTGGTCAGTCAAGGCATCATCTTTTATCTGATTTCAGAAATTAATTTAAAATATTTATATATTTATTCGATGAGTGAGCTCCAAGCCTGGTCAAGAAAAAATTAAGAACACCAAGTGCTGACCTTAGCTGAAGCTTTAGTAATTAGGGAGCTTAGATGATGAGTTTGGAGATCTGATTTTTTTGAAAGTCTAGCTCTCTTCTTCAAAGACTTCCTCCACATGATACTAGATTGCTCAGTAGCTTCTTGGGCTTTTGAGATAAACTGAATCCTTTTTATTTATGCTTCGGCTCATAAATTTTATTGAATTATTTCTTATGGCCCAACAGATCTCGGTCCAATTTCTGATTCCCCATTCTTAATTGGCCATAGTTTATCAACTGAGTCGGTTAAATCATCCATGGGTCTCTCATTAATGCTATTGCAGATTTTTGCACCGTCGGCATTCAATGTTAAGAGGATGATGATCCTTACAAGGGGGAGTAGTGTATTACCTCGAGCTTTTTCCCAGTCCTATTATAGCAGGCTTTTCTTCATCAGTTTTTGCCAGATGGCTTTCATTTCTGCATCTGACAGTATCATCAACTTGACTGTCGTGTGGCTTGATGAGTAGCCCCCGTATGCAGGCTTTAGACACTATCATGAAAGTAATCTTGGTCTCTAACCCTTCTTGAGTCATTTTTAATGGCTGAATCTCCAGTTTAGTCTAGCTTCCTTCCTTCCATAGACTTGAGACATGCAAACTAGAATCCACTCAAAGCCAGGAGGGCCATATGACTTCAACCATAATCCAGATGTTGGTTGAAGGACTGATGGCCTGGTTTGCAAACAATCCTTAGCGTCATGCCCAATTCTTCCACAAGGATAGTAAAACCTCGGAAGCTTCTTATCTGCTATATGCTTGAACGTACGAAGAAATGAATTCTTTACTGTTTGAGAAGAAGTCCTTTGGACGTGGGCCATATGTTGTAAAACACCAGTTGGATGACTGTGAATGGATTTTACCCATAACAGTGAGCTTCCATTGTTTGTCAACTAAGTTGTCTTCTACTGAGAGGAGCAGTTCTCTGGTGCTGATGTGGCATGTCTGTAGAGCAATCTCCTATATTGCTTTATTCATGAGTTGCTTCTGCGGCATCATCTTCTATATTCTGGTTTGATGGGACTGGGGCCTTCCGTCATATAGCTGCTTTAATGTGACTCGTTCATCACCAGAGGTTTATGATTTCGAGCAACTTTTCTGCAGGTGGATAAAGAAGGTGGGAGAAGAAGGAAAGAGTTCCAAGATACTGTGATAAAAGCCCATTGGTAATCGGAGAACTGAATGGTCGAGGAACAAGTAGAAAAGTGGGAGAAAGCAAGTTTAAGTCCAGACGGGAGAGAATTTAGTTATATTGAGAGAGAGAGAGAGACCTGAAGATAATTATTTTTTTCTTTAATTTAGCAAGAAATTGAGAATTATGTTTTCAAGTGTTTGGGGCATTCATTAGTAGCTCTTTTTATATGTTTTTTTTAATAAAAAATTTAGTCTATTGATTTTTTAAATTAACTTTATAGTCTATGTTTTCACTTTTTTGTTTTTGTTTTTTTTGGTCTAAATTACTTTTTATTTTTGATAAATTAATAATAATAATAACCTTCTAAAAGAGAAAAACTCAATTCTCATCCCTTTTAAAACTCATTTAATTTCATTTAACCAAGCCTGAAATACAAAACCATCCTTTGATCTTAGAATCAAACTAAACACCAAAAACAGCCCAGCCCAGCCCAGCCTACCTTTCCTCCAATCCCGTATCTTTTTGCTTCCCCTTCACTGAGCAACAAAGAGAGAAATAAGCTGGGAACGGGCAGGGGAGGAAAGAGACAGAGACGTACAAAGCCAGAGGGTATTGGGCAGACCGCGTTTCAGGCAAAGAGGAAGACATAGAAGGGTGCCACCGGCAATATGAGGAGGCTTCTTCCACTTTGAAAAGGAGAGAAGAAGACGCAGCAGCTTCTTCAGTTTTTTAAAGAGGGAAAACAGAAGCCAAAAGGGGAAAGAGAAAAGGAAATCGGAGTTCTCCCAATCATTCTGCAGGAAATCAAAAACCCAAGGAAATTTATTCAACATCGGCAATACACGGAGCTATGAACCATCTTTCATCTAGTCAGCGCCTCCTTTCATCTTCCCCAAACCAGGGAGTTTCTGCGAGAGCCTCTCAGTGAGTATTTCTCCGGCTTCTTTTCTTTATGTTTTTTTTTTTCGTTAATGCATTTAACATCACAATACCCTCTTGGTGGTAGGCTTTGAACGAGCTTATTGCAAAATTTGCATTCCGGCTGTTGCCAAGCAGTTCAACATCATCAACGTATTGTTTTTAGCACATAGAACTCACAGAGGGAGTAAACCTATAGATAGAGATTGAAGCAGAGGGTTTCCTTGTTGCGAAGAGAGCCCATCAACCTATTATGCAAGAAAAGCAAAGCGAAAAGGAGAAAAAAGTAAGAAGAGGAGAGAAAGTAGGTATGGCTTCATCTTCAGGGGCTGAAAGCGAAAGCCAGTCACCTAGCATTTACATCCCACAAGAATGGTCTGAGGCAGCAGAGTCTGTAGCACACGATTCCATCACTTGGCCTCCCCCTGTTGTTCTAGTTTGTGGTCCCAAAAACTCCGGCAAAACGACCTTCTCCCGCATAATTCTCGATGTTCTTCTCAAGAGGTTAGCATATAATCTCTCGCATCGTTTTGGACACATCGTGGGTTTGAACGGAAATTTCTAGTGTTTTGGTTTGTCAATTAATGGTGAAGTGGGTTGGGTTTTACTTGTTTTAATTTACTCTGTGTACTTCTGATTGTTTCATATTGCAAAACTCATGCTTTTAGTTTCCTCTTTGTAAATTAGTAGGATATGTTTTAACTCCATGATTCTTATCTATTTGGTATTTGTGCTGCAGATACAAAAAAGTAGCTTATTTTGATACAGATGTTGGCCAGCCTGAGTTCACTGCCCCTGGTTTTCTCTCCCTGGTTATAGTTGAGGAAACACCTTCTGGTATCTTTCATGGTTCTTATTATTTGCTGTCTTTACTTGTGAATATTTCTACATTTTATTGTCTTTTCAAAATTTCAAATGATTCTTTAACTTTTTTTTTCTTTTAACTTATTATTGAAAAAATGCTTTCTTTTCATGTTACTGAAAGGTGTTACTTTTTCCTTTAGATTTGACAATTCCATGCATGAAGACTCCAGAAAGGTATGCATTTTTTTCTTGTAATGAAGATAATTTACTTTTACCTCATCAAAAACATTACATGGCTACATATCTTTATCCTCTGTCTTGAGGAGCAGGATTAAGGGTATTTTTATGAGAGAATTGTTAATTTCTTGAAGAAGTAGAGTTTCATTTTCCCTCTATAAATACAAGATGGAAGTCCATGAGGTAAAGAAAGGTCAACCTTTGTAATGTTTGGGATTCTTTATAAGTTTGAAGGACTTTGAGGATCAAGAAACTAGCATCTTGACATATTTAATTCTCGAGGAGCAGGGTTTCTTGTCGTATTTTTGTAAGAGAAACATTTTTTTTTTAAGAAATGGATTTCAAACTTTTCTACATATATACAAGAAGAAAGTCCATGAAGTATAGGATGGTCAACATCATAATATTTGGGATTTGTGGATCAACATTGTAATTGGCATTTTTATGTATTCGATAAAAAAAAGAAGGGTATTTTGATATTTGATTTCAGCCTTGACCATGGTATTTCAATTCCTATTGCTGGAAGCATACATATAATGATTCATGACTTGTATTGGATCAATGAGCTGTCATGTTTTGTATGTGGATTTTCTTATCATGAACCAAAATATACTTCAAAAAATACATATGATACAGTAACATAGAATTTGATATATGTTTTGTTTGTCTAGATGCTTTTTCTTTGGTGATATTTCTTCGAAGAGGAATCCAACTACATACTTGAAATATGTATTCACCCTATATGATTATTACCGAAAAGAGTACTGCATTTATGATGAGGGCAAAAATCATGCTAGGACAAAGGTGCCTCTTATTGTAAATACGCCTGGTTGGGTGAAAGGTGTGATTTTCTCGCTGTTGTGGTTACATGAATGGAGTCCAATAGTGCTGTCTGTATGACATTTACATCTCTTTTTCATTCCAGGTATTGGTTATGACATATTGGTGGATATTCTAAAATATATTGCTCCAAGCCATGTAGTTAAGATAAATATTTCCGCTGGGAGAAAGAATCTACCATCTGGGGCATTCTGGTTGGATGATAACAACTACAGGCTTGGTAATCTTATAGAGATTAAATCAGCTCACCAAGATACTCTCAATAGATCGTAAGTTCTTATCAACCAGTAAGTACATGCAGATTTCTAATAACAGTCTCCAATTACCACCATATCCTGTTCATTCACTTTTTTCTATCTGGAGTTCAAGAATAACTTATCCGTAAAATATATGCTTGAGAATTATTTTATTTTACCATGTCCTGCTGCAAAGAAAATTGATATCTGCTTTTGGCTGGTGGAAATATTATATGCAGTAGTTTTCTGTTACCTATTTTTCTCGAGCTTGTATCCTAGAACATGTTCTTATCTGTATCTTGTGAAACATCTAGACCTCTATTTCATTTATATATGTTTCATTTTCCAGAAAACTTATTGTTGCAAGGCAATATAACTTTTCTTCCTTGTATTTATTTGATTTTTCAGAGTTCTAATTCAAAAGGATGCAAGCCTCATGCGGGATTTTCGAATAATGGCTTACTTTAGGCAGTGCATTCCTAGTGAGAAGAATATCAACACAATAAGAGAACTTGCACATGAACTTGCTTCCCTTCCTCCCTATGCGGTTCCAATAACAGCAATAAAGATTAGACATCTTCACTGTCAGGTTAGTAAAAAGAATTGAAAAATTACCATAGATAATGTTAGTAATATGAAATGTTTAGGACTAGACAAAACAGTTGGTTAGTTCTATGTTTTGTGGCAAAAACATAAAAATTGGTTAGGAAACCATTAAAAGTTGGAAAAAATTTGTTTCTAGAAAATGGCGGAACAGTCTCACCAAAACAATTTTCCTGAAGTACCATTCTCCTTCCCCTCATATTGGTCTTCAATCTTCTTTTGTGGCATGAAATTATCATGTTTTTCAATTTTTGACTTGCAGTTTTAATTACAGTAGTTGAAGGTTGATTTTCATAATTGATTCTATACAAATTTGATCCAACAGGATAATTTCAATTTTAATTTTAATAATTTATATTTTTAATAGAATCTTATTAATTATCTTGTCATAACTAAAACAGAATTTTATTAATCATTTGTAATTGATTAACATTTTAGTTGACTAGTTATAAATTAATTTTATAAATTAAATTTAAATAAATTAAAATATAACATCAACTTTAAATGGTACAAGGATATGACTGTTGTGTTGTCTTGCTCAAATTATTATCTAACGAACTCACTTCACTTCTTTATTTAGTCCTACCTAGTGATGCTCTTTCTCATCTTGTTTTGTGCTAGAAACTCACCAAATATTACCATAATTTTGTTAAAAAGTATCATTTTTCATTTTTGCATCGTTCTATTTTTTCTTTAGAATATGTTCTGCACCAGTACAACTTTGATTGTTATGGCATTCTGAGGCAGATGTCAACTCTGATAGTTCTCAAAATATAGATTTTTCATATAGAATGTCTTTGCATTTTTTTATAAATGTGCAACGAAATCCTATGACATGGCTCTATCTTTAATGCTAGGTTCCCAGCACAGAAATTTTCTACAGTTTGAACTCTACCATTGTTGGCTTGGCAACCAGTTCTGAAATGTTTGAAGATTTAACTTCATGTGTTGGTCTTGGTTAGTTACCTTTACTGTGTAATCGCATAATTTCCAATTGATTCTCAGTTGCTTCATCTTTGCAAGTTATTCACGTTGTAACAAGAAGTAATTAGTTCTTTCTATAACTTGTCTGTTTGGGGCACCAGTATGTACAACTTTTTCTTTTAAGACATTTTGAAGCACATCATATTGGATAGCGCCTATGCATGAATAATTTAATGGCAATAAATTAACAATAAAGTTTGACAATTAATAGAATTTTCTATTTCTTTCTGCAATCTATTTCTCATTTGCTTTTTGAGAAATTCATCTGATAACTTAAATTCATGAGCTTCATGGATGGCATTGGTGATTCTCAAGTGCCAGACATGCCTGTTACCTCTTTCTCATCTTCCATAAATTAGCAGATGAAAATGGAGTTAATTTGGATGATGCACGTATAGGCTTGTATGGGTGCACAAGTGGGAGATATATGATAGTCTGCATATAAGATTGTTCTGGTTTTCTAGTACTTGCAAAATGTTAGGTTCATCTAGTATTTTCTGTTGTTGGGACTTTTCCCAGGGCTTATACCAGCATGATTTCTTCTGAATGTGCTCTTCCCACCTGTTATCCAAAAATGTATATTGTTGTGATGTTTCATACATTTTGTGAGGGAGATGTTACTCTTCTAATATTTTCTTCACACTTGAATCTTGATGCCTTTGTTAATCAGGAATTGTTAGAGGAATTGACGCGCTCAAGGGCTTGCTCTATCTAATCACCCCAATTCCACACAGCATTCTGGAAAAAGTTGATCTTTTGCTGCAGGGTTACATCCAAGTTCCTTCTTCCTTGATGCAGGTACTAAAACCTTTCCAATAACTCAAGCTGTGGTTTGGATGGACTGCGTAGTTTATATAGGCTATGATTTTAGAATACTAAAGATGATAATAAAGATAAGTTCAAGAGCCGGCAGGGCAAAGTTTTTAAGAGTATTTAAGTTTTGTAACACTTGATGGGTTATTCCTATATCAATCAGTACCTTCTTCATCTTGAATGTACAGACAATATAAGTATAAATAGCACTCGTTATGTATTTAGTATCTTATCCCATGTAGCTTGCGGGTATCGTCTTTTAAAGCTTACGTTATTCAATATTAGTTTTTGTTCCTTTTCTTTCAAAACACCGAGCCTTTTATCGAAACTGGTAGACTTCATGGTTTTTACTGAAGTATAATTGATTTTTGTTGATGTTCAGGTAAAGGGATGCAGATCGCCTTACATGTCTTCTAATGTTTTGCGAGCTAACTGATGTTTCTGGTGACGATAGCTAGCAACTTCTCTCACACAATTTTTACACTGGTGTTTCAACTGAGTATTTTCAGAGAAGAGAAGATCACTATAGATGCATAGGATGAACCAGTTTTCATTTACATAAGATTTTCAGACTGCTTTTGCTTGATTTTAATTCACAGGAAACTCCTTTTGTTTTCTTTTGGTTTTTATTTTATTATTTTATTTTTTTCATCTCATAGCCTGTTTTTACAGAACTCACAGGTTCTTGACACTCAAATCTCCAACTTTCATTTCTGAATCAAAGGCCAAAAATTTCCTTCTGCTGTTAGTTTTATGAAACAAATTAAGCCAAGCATGTACTTGTCTAAGCCAATTCAGAGAGATTTGAATTTATCATTTGTGCGGAATTCTAAGTCTAAATAAGAAGAGTGATTATAATACCTTTCCAGAGAAATGTTTTTATTCTTCTAATTTATCATTTCAGTTATTTAAGAAATTTTAGAGACTTTAGATTTGTTTATTCAGTAAAGTTAGAATTTAAGTAAATGTTTCTAATTAACTTAATGCAACTTGGAATTGATTATTTTTTTTAGTGGATTTATTTTATGCTCAATCTTTATTTTTCTCCTCTCATGTTTTTCATTTTTGCTTAATATTTTCTTCTTTTCCTCATCTTCATATTTATTTCCTATTTTCTTCTATTTATTCTCTTTCACATATTTTTCCTCTGCTTCTTTATATTGTAAGATGATTGTGGGTTATCTTACATAAATTGGTATTAGAGCCAAAACTTTTACCTCCTATCTTCTTCTGCCAAACTCTATAAAAGAGAAAAATGATTGCAACACCAGCTAGCACAATGCTCGCTCTCATCACGATGTCATCTTCTAACGTTTTTCAAGTCGATCTTGCACACACTATGCAAGAACTTTAGCAACTATTAAAGTCGCCGCAAGTTCTAGTCATACTAGAATTTTCGACTCCATATTCAACAAGAATAGTTGACCTCTCACTCATTATAAACTCAACTTGTAACAAACATTGGAAATTTGTAGTTTTATGGATCAACTCCTATGGATGAAACAAGTCTAGTTGATCAGGTTGACATTTGTGCCAAGTTGAGCCACCAGAAATGAGGTGAGCTGCTGAGCCGAGGCGAACCAAATTTTGAGCGGATGTAAATAGATTGTTGCAGTTTGGTTAAGATATTAAATTTTAATTCTAATTATTGACTTTATCCGCTAGTTGCCACTTAATGGGTATCCTATATTACAATGTCTCTTTAACTTCCCATAAATACTCATTTTCCAAATCATTTTTGAATAAAAATATGAAATATGTATATATATATATATATATAAAGCACCAAAAGGGTGCAATTAATGTACAAAAAGATTTGCAACTCAATCAGAATGCCTATTAGATCCCCAAAAGATCTTTAGTAGAATTTAGTAGATGACCATTAATAAAAAAAGCTATCAGGTTGAAGTCAAATATCCTTAAATATTTCAAGATAGTTACTGTACCTTCAAAAAAATCCTAATGTTCTTTACCTCCAATATGACCTAAAAGGTGGCCAAAAAGGATAAGCTTTAATCTCTTATCCCATTGGATTCCTTTCCAAGCATACAATTCTTTCTGAATGGAACTTGTAATTAACCCCTAGCAATCCATAAGCTAAATTCCAAATCCTAAACATAAATGAGCACTATAAAAGGATATAATTACAAGAGTAGCATCCATTCACAAAAATTTTGCCTCTAGTTATCAATTAATCTAAAGAATACATTTCTTTACAACCTCCCAAGTGAAGAAAGCCACCATGGGTGTTGCCTTTATCTCATAAATCTTACAAGCAGGAAATTCCACCCCCTTTATTCCGTCGTTATTCAAATAATTATAGAAAAACTTCACCTAGAATAAGCTTGGCAAATTCAACTTTTTAATTGGTTTATCTGATACTCTATTATCCACTTTCATACATGTGAGAGAATTAATAAAGCCGGATTCTTCTCCTATTTCCTAATTATTTAAATTCTTATTTAATTCAATATTTCATATCTCATTGTCTTTAATGTCGACCAAGAACTCTTCGATAGTGGTCTCCTTGTTATAAACCAATACATAAAATATTGGGAGATTGTTGTGCTAAAGCTCTCCCTTACATCTATTCATCCTCTCGAAATCTCGCTCCCTCTCTTAATTCCACCCTCCATCTAATACACTTGTGGAATCTCCCCATTCCATACAAATTCCTTTTCACATACCCGCTCCATTTGATCCTTTTGGGAGTCTAGCAAACTAACCCAAATCATCCACCTCATTCTTTCCCACTATTTTCTTAAATCAATAACTACCTTGTTCCTCTATGAATCTCCATAATTATTTCCGCCACTAGGAATCTTAGTGTCAATCCACCCTTTTGATTAGGCCATTTCACCTTTCTTCATACAAACAGATGATATCTGTTAAGTGACATAAGGTAAATAGGGATATTGAGTAGCTTATTTTTAATGAATGTCGACTCCCTTTTAATAGCAAACTCCACTTTTGCCCTATTAATATCGATTATAATCTAGTCATTGTCAAGTTTTTTATGGAAATCTCTTAAAATTTTGCTCACAAATGCATGTCCAAATACTTTATAGGAAGATCAACATTCTTGTACCCCAAGATGTCAGCCTTTTAACTTAGATCTCTATATTATTCTGTTGAAAATTGAGTTTCCTATAGAAGAAAGAGTTGACTTTTTTATCATTTCAACTCTAAACTTTATGTTTATTATTTTTTTCTTGTATTGACAACTTTAAATAACAACTGTCAAATAGGAATGTAGCTTTATGTTTTTTGTTCAGCTCCATATTTTTCTATTTAAAGTATGATATGTATCAGAGTTTGTATAATTAGTTAAAATTTGTAAACTTTTACTTCCACTTTGTATATATAAATGTATGAAATTAATGGAAAGTGTATGTCATTGAACATTTTCCCAACAATAGAAGACTATTATTTTTTCTGTAATTTTTTCCTCTTCACTTTCTTCCATATTCTTCCATTTTTTCAGAAATTTAATTAACTCATATCTCAATAGTTGTATCAGAGTTGCTGTTCTTGTGGGCTATGAGGAATTAAGCAAACTTGTTATTTGATTAAATTTCATCAAGTTGACAGAAAATGGCCATGAATGTGAACTGACCTGCACCACCAGTATTCACAAGAGAAAATTATGATTATTGGGTAGTAAGAATGGAGTCATATTTGCTTATTTATGACTTATGAACTGTTGTAGATGAGGATTATGTTGGGGTACCTGTACCTGAAAATTTTACATCAACACAAATTCGTCAAGATGAGAGGGCTCCATGAAGAATTTTAAAGCTCTATCTATTATTTATTCAGTTGTATCAAGAAATATTTTTCCATGGCTGGTTGGTTTTAAAACGGTAAAAAAAACTTGGAATTATTTAAAGGAAGAGTATGATGGAAGTGCAAAGGTGAGGGGTGTAAAATTATTAACATTAAAGAGGAAGTTTGAGCTGATGAAATGTGAAAGTGTTAAAAACTACTCTAGCAAGGTTATGAATATGATGAATCAAATCAGATTGCTTGGAGGGAATTTCAAAGATTGAAGAGTAATAGAAAAGATGATAATTAACCTTTCAAAGAAGTTTAAATCAAAACTTTCAGTGATTGAAGAAACTTACAATTTAGAAAAGCTGTCAGTAGCTAAGCTGATAAGCAAGTTGCAAGCTCAAGAGCAAATGACTTCTATTAGAAGTGATGGTGTTGTAGAAAATGCATTACAAGTTAGACAAAAAGGAAATTAAGTTGTTATAACCTCAAAAGAAGCTGATCAGTCTTTTGAGCCTAAAGTAAAGAGCAGCAAGACTTTAAAGAGTCCAATAAAAAGGAAAAACTTTTTGTTTACAGCTTTATAACAGGAGTGGGCATCTAGAGAGCAAATACTGGAAGAATTTGTAATGTAGAGTTTGTAAAAAAATAACACACATTGCAAAAGTTTGTTCAAAAAGAAATAAAAAATTACAGAATTCATATCAGCAATAAAAAAAATCTACTGAGTAACAACAAGCTAACTTTGTGGAGAATTAAACGCAGCAAGAGAGCCATTTGTTTATGGTTATTCAAGATCTTTATGTACTTGCTGTTGATATGTAGTATACTAAAAATGGTTATACAAGCCTCATGGTTAGAGATCACAGACTATTTTCTAATCGAGATTCCAAGTGCAGAACCAAAGTGAAGCTTGAAAATGGGATGATTGTGGAGGCTCAAGGCAAAGGTTCAGTGCCGATTCACACTAAATAAGATATAAAATTTATTACTGATATCTTATTTATTCCTGACTTAGAGTAAAATTTATTGAATGTGGCTTAAATGCAAAATAAATTATATTTAATTTTATTCAGAAATGATTGTTGTAATGTATATGATGCCGCAAATGTTGTGGTTCTGAGTGTTAAATAGGTTGATAATAGTTATTTTTATGTTTGAAGCTTGTGAATCAAATTGTCTTATCTGTTAAAAATGATGAAACATGCTTGTGGCATAAATGTTTTGGTCACGATCACATTGATGAATTAAAGTTGATACAAAAAATGGTATGGTGAGTGATATGCCTATTGTTTCTGGTGGAGAAAAAGTATGTGCAGTTTGTCAGTATGGTAAAATGCATAGGACCAATTTTCCAATTGGTGGAGTTATTCGTGCAACCATAAAACTTGAACTAATCCACTCTGATGTATGTGGGCCTGAGTGTTACTTCCTTAAGATGTAATAAATATTTTATTTTGTTTATACATGATTTTATAAGGATACTTGGTTTACTTTCTCTCAAGCAAGGGGCATGTGCTTTCTATGTTTAAAAAGTTTAAATCATATATAGAAAAGCAAAGTGGATGTGAAATAACAAACCTAAGGTCTGATAATGGCGGTAAATATATTTCATATGAGTTTAGGAAGTTTTGTGATGATTGTGGTATATTGCAGCAATTTACTGTTGCTTATTCACTTAAGTAGAATGAAGTCTCAGAAAGAAAGAATATGATATTAATAGAGAAGTTCAGATGCTTGATGTCAGAGAAGGAGTTGACTAAAAACTTTTGGGCTGAAGTTGCATATACTTCAGTTTATCTGCTTAATAGACTTCCTACCATATCAGTTAAAGAAAAAACTTCAATTGAAGCATGGAGTGGTTCAAAGCCTTCAGCAAAGCATTTGAGAATCTTTGGCTCAATTTGCTATACACTTGTTCTTTCTATGAAGAGGACCAAGTTGGATGATAGAGCTCAAATTGGTATATTTTTAGGATATGTAGGACAAGCCAAACATTATAAAATTTATGATGTACATTCTGGTAAAGTATATGTTAATAGGGATGTAAGATTTGATGAACAAGTTTGTTGGGATTAGAAGAAGAAATAAGTTAAAACAAAGGAAATTGAGAAAGACTCAGTTGCTTTCGAGTCTACATCAGGTCCATGTAATTCAGTTTGATATGAACAAAGTGATCATGATGTTGATTCAAATCCTATTACTAATACTCCTAGCAAAAAAATAGAGTCACTTACTGAAATTTATGAAAGATGTAACTTAGCAGTTATAGAACTATCTAACTTTGATGAAGCCTCAAAGTATCTTGAATGAGAAACAACCATGCAAGAGCAGTTTGACACAATTTGCAAGATTGAAATATGGGAGCTCACACCAAGACCTTTTGAACAAGAATATGATAGGGGTAACATGGGTTTACAAAACTAAGTTTAATGTTAATGGATCAGTCCTCAAGCATAAAGCTAGACTTGTGGTGAAGGGATATGCTTAGCTTACAGGAGCTGATTTTGGGAATACTTTTGCACCAATTGCAAGACATGAAACAATAAGCTTACTTGTAGCTCTTGCAGTAAAGAAAAGTTAGAAAATGTTTCATTTAGATGTGAAGTTAGCTTTTTTTAAATGGAGTCTTGAAAGAAGAGATTTATGTGGAGCAACCACAAGGTTTTCAGGTTTCTAAAGATGGTGAATATGTGTATAAGCTAAAGAAGGCCTTATATGGGCTTAAGCAAGCTCCTAGAACTTGGTACACTAGAATTGATTCACATTTTATCAGCATGAGTTTTAAGATGAGCAAAACTGAAGTAACTCTTTATGTGAAAGGCATTGATGACAACAATCAGCTTGTTGTGTCAATATATGTTGATAATTTGCTAGTGACAGAATAATGGCAGAATTTGAGATGTCGGATCTTGAGGAAATGACTTATTTTCTTAATATGAAAGTCAAACAACTTAATGATGGAATTTTTCTTTCTCAAAGAAAGTATGTATGGGATGTCTTAAAGAGCTTTAAAATGGAGAATTACAAGTCAACTATCATACCACTTTTTGCAAGTAAATAACTTTCAAAATTTGATGAAGCTGAGAAAGTAAATGCAAGTCCTTACAAAATTTTAATTGGAAAACTTCTTTATTTGACTGCTATCAGCCAGATTTGATGTTCTCAGCTAATTATTTATCAAGATTTATGAATTCACCTGATCAAAAGCACCTTAGAGTAGCAAAAAAGGTGTTGAAGTATTTAAAAGGAAATGCTAGTTATGGTAATTAGTATTCTATAGAAGAAAGTGGTGGATTGCAAGAGTATTCTGATAATGACTAGGTACAAAATTCAGATGATTGCAAGAGTACTTTAGGATTTGTTTTTTCATTTGTTTAGGGTGTTTTTGCTTGGAATTCAAAAAAGTAGGACGTGGTAATTCAGTCCACTGCTAAGGTTGAATAAATAGCAGCAGCTACAGCAACAAACCAAGTTATATGGTTCAAAAAAATTTTGAATGAACTTAATATGGTGCATGAGGATCCTATTATTATTTGTGTAGATAACAAGTCTGTCATTGTAATTGCAAATAACTCGGTTCACCATGAAAGGATAAAACATATTAATGTGAAGTATCATTTTCTTCATGAAGCTGAGAAGGATGGTGAATTTCACTTAGTGCATTGCAATTTAAATGATCAAGTTACTAATGACCAAAGCTTTACCTAAGTGTAAATTTGAAGATTTGAGAGTTAAACTTAGTTTGTTCAATAGAAAATTCAAGGAGAAGTGTTGAAGATTGAGTTTTTCATAGAACAAGGATTTGACTTTTTTGTCATTTCAGCTCCAGACTTTATGTTTACTATTTTTTTCTAGTATTGACAGCTTTAGATAATAACTGTCAAATAAGAGTAAAGCTCCATGTTTTTTGTTCAGTTCCATACTTTACTGCTTAAATTATGATATGTATCAGAGTTGGTAGGATTAGTTGAAATCTGTAAACTTTTTCTTCCACTTTGTGTGTATATATGTATGAAATTAATGAAAAGTGTATGTCATTGAACACTTTTCCAGCAGTAGAAAACTTTTATTTTTTTATGCAATTTTTCCCTCTTCACTTTCTACCACATTCTTCTATTTTTCTCATAAATTTAATTAACTCATATCTTAACACATTTCATACGAACTTGGTTTTTGCCAAATTTATCTAAAGCCTTGAGGCGACCTTAAAACAAAGTGATACACACTTACCTAAAGCAAGGCCCTTGTTGTTTGGTTCATGGAAAATGGAGACATTCACCATCCCAAAAACACAGTAGTAATCTTGTGCAACCCCATT